TCAGTAATGCATTAGTTTATTTCTTAGTTATTGCAAATGTGGTAGTTTCTAGCATTTAAATGTTTTGTGTATTAATCAGAATGTGTTATGCTGCAGTAACAAACCAACCCTGAGATCTCACTGACTTTGCATAAAGCTCCATTTGACCCCCCACCCACCCCACCAGTCTCTGTGGTTTAAGCCACTATCTAAGGACTCTCAGCTTTGAGAAGCGACTTGGAGGCCCGGGTGAATTGCTCCTTATGGCTACACCATTTGGATTGCATGGTTTCCAGGTCACTGCATCAGTGAAGGGAGAACTAAAGGGCCATTCCCCTTTTCTTAAATGCTTTAGAAGTCCAACAGTCATGCTGAGGACCTTGTCCCACTCTCCAGAGCTTGCCAAATGGCCCTGCCTCGCCCCAAGGCTCTGGGAAATGTGGGTCTCACATGGATTTTCACTGAGCAATACATGTCTCTGTCACACAGTATATTTGAAAACTGTTTTAAGTTTGACATTCTTAAGAGAGGAATATAGATCTAACCCAAAATTTCAACCTCGCTTATACCACTCTCCGTCAGAAAATGCAATCTTTGTCAACTGTAAGCTGTCATAGTACCTGAATAAATGCAAAAAGGAAGGGGAAAAAAGCAGCTCCCTTCCAAATTAAATCATAGAAGAAAAGCGTTAGTCAGGCGCACTTCTGAGAGGAAGACATCAGCTAAGTCATTTGGAGCAAGGTGTGACTGGAAAGAACCCACAGTGATAACCTGCCAGGAAGAGCTGCGACAATTCTCCACAGACTGCAAGCCACGCAGCACACTTAGGAATACAGAGGAGCGAAGTTAAACAAAGCTCACAGCCCACTGCTCAGCCCCATTAGCCTCAGTGGAGAAATAGCACCTCCCAGTGATCCTTCCTCTTATCACCTTTTTTTCCCTGGTTTTTTTGTTTGTTTGTTTGTTTTGTCTTTGGGTTTCTTGTTTGTTTGTTTGTTTTGTCTTTGGGTTGTTTTTTTGTTTGCTTGTTTTGTTTTATTTCTCATATAATCCTGCAGTTCCCACACAGGAAGTTCAGTTCTGGGCTTTATTGCAATGCTTGAGCCCTAATACATTTCTGGGCTTTAAATTGCTTCCAGAAAAACTGACGAGCCACGCCCTTATAGGACCATCCATCACAGATGATTCTTCAAGTAACTTTGGAACAAATCAGTGACTCTAAATAGAGATGCAGCAAAACAGCAAAACAGTCCATGCTGTTGAGATTATTCCACAAGGGGGCCGGCAACATCAGGCAGAAGAGGGAGGGAGGTGATGAGCGAATAAAGAAAACAAGATTTGTGAGGATGACTCAGAGGAAAATTGGCTCTGTCCAGAGCCGCCTGCCATTAAACAGCGATCAAATACAAGTGGAGTGGGGTGAGATGCGAAGTTTTACCTTCTGGTTGTTTACATGAGGCCTGAAACGAGTTCAACTTTCCTTTCCCCTTTCCGCTTCATAGACACGCATGTATGCACACAATCACACGTGCACACACAGACACATGGGGAGATGCAATCACAGGACCTTCCCTGCTTTCTGACAGCATCCAATCCACAGCAAACACGTGCTGCCTCTCACCCTCTCCCAATCACCCAACCAAAGCCCAAATCCTATACCTCCTTCTCCTACTGAGACGCCTCATTGTTCTTCACTGTGTGTGTTCTTTCTTGCCAAAATGAGTAATAAACCCAGTTTGTTCACCTTCAGATATCCTCTTGGTGGCCTTCAGCTTGTGGCACTGACACAGAGTCAAGGACAAACACATGAGAAACCACTGGGTTCAGTAAGGAGGTCGCCAGGTGAGGAAGGAAGAAATCAAAGCAGCTCCTGACACACTCACAGGGGGGTCAGGTTATTTTTCTCTTGGGCATAAACATTCTCACAGAACAGTCCCCCCGGCAAGCTTACTCCAAGAGCAGGAGTAAGTGAGACAAAGCAAGGCGCTTCATAATTTTGTCTAAGCACAGACAAAAACAAGGTCGCTGTACCACCCACGGAATACCAAACACCCTCCTGATTAGAGTGAGTGACAGCTGCTTCTTACCCCCTGCAGCCTTATCTTCACCACAGCCTGCCCTCCCTACAGTTGAGACTAAGACACATGGGGAGACACAATTGTAGGATCTTCCCTGCTTTCTCACAGCATCCAATCCACAGCAAACACCTGTTGCCTTACATGCTCTCCCAATCACCCAACAAAGCCCAAATCCTATACCTCCTGCTCCTACTGAGACTCCTCGTTGTTCTTCACCGTGTGTGTTCTTTCTTGCCAAAACGAGTAATAAACCCAGCTTGTTAACCTTTGGATATCCTCTTGGTGGCCTTCAGCTTGTGGCACCGACACAAGCATGAGACCCTCCTAGTTAGAGAAAATTGACAAGAATTTGCAATGTGCTTTCCCTACACACCTCCCAACCCCACTAGAAGATTATACATAAAAACAGAGTGGATGGGGGAAGAAGAGAGTTGGGAGGGAACAAAATGAGCAAGACAGTTTGTTCCTTTTTGCCGTTGCTTCTAAACATCTCATTACTTTGTGTGATGCACAAACACACAAATAATGCACACACAGACACACAAATAGCTCAGGAGGATGGACATGGATTTGGAAATAAAGAACTGATTCTCACCTATGTCTGGAGGTCCCTGAGTGGCAGACTCTACAAACATACCCAGCAATGTCCAGGCGAGCTGAGGACAGCATGGAGGTGAGAAGAGGCGTAACTGGATGGGAGAGCACAGACTCCAATGAAGCCAAATCTGGCACAGCAAGAAACCTGTCCCAGTGTGTCATCGGAGGGCACCACAGAGAGCTGGAAAATGAGCCAGGATCCCAGCCACCCAGAGGCAGCAAAGCAAGTTGAGATTCCCCATTCTCAGAAGCAGCTTTCAGCTCGAGAAGCTGCTGCATCCACTGGGGTTCATCCATGCAAGGGGGCTGTGAGGAGCCACCTGGACCCCTAAAAAACAGGACTATTCCCTGGTACCGCTGGAGCCAAGAAAGGTGCGAGGTTGTTTAAGACTCTGAAAAAGAGCCCCGCAGAGATGACATGTGCTCTGTTAGCCCTGGTGCTCAGGCCATCTTGTGAGCTGACAGCCTCTCTCAGCTTGGCCCCGTGGCAACAGACATGGTCAAACTTTGTAGATGTACAAGAGGGAGAAGGGGAGAGAAAATCCTGTAGGAGAGAAAACTTTGAAAAGCATCTCAATTTAACCCAATGGATGCCAGAAGCGGCCAAGCAATGGACTAGACGTGGCTGGGATACCTGGAGCTCAATAGCAACAACAATGAAAAATTTAAGAAATTAAAAAGGTTCAGTAAACCTATTTGCTTAACATAAAAGAAGGTAGTAAAGGAGGCTCAGAGGACCAAAAACCAGATGAGACGTACAGAAAAAAACAACAGCAAAATGGTAGACAAAAGTACAACCACATCAATGGGTTAAATGCACCAACTAAAAGACAGAGATTGTCAGAAAGACAAGTAAGACCCAATTCAAATACTGTCTATGAGAGATTCAAGTTACATTTAAAGGTGCAAATAGGTTGAAAGTAAAGATAAAAAATTGTATATTGTGAGAACAGTGGCCATAAGACAGCTGGAGACGCTATAGTAATATCAAACAAAATAGATTTTAAGACAAGATAAATTAGTATATTATCCTATAGGCCAAAGAAAAAGAAATTACAGGGGAAACTGGAAATAACTTGAACTAGATGAAAATGAACATAGATGCAAAATTCCTTAACAAAATAGTAAAACCTAATTCAGCAACATATAAAGAGTACTATCCAGTATGACCACTATGACCCGTGAGGTTTATTTCAGGAACACAAGAAGAGTTGAACACCTGAAAATTGATGAATGTAACAAACTATAGTAAGAGAATTTTAAAAAATCACCTGATCATATCAATAGATGCTGAAAAATTGTTTGACAAAATTCAACACCATCCATGATACAAACTCTCAAAACACTTGGAATATAGGGGAGCCTTATCAATCCAATCAGGGAACCTACCAAGGCTGACAGCTAGCATGATTCTTAATTATAAATGGCTGAATGCTTTCCCCCCAAGACCAAGAACAAGGCCAGGATGTTGGCTTTCACCGCCTGTATTCAGTATCTTGCTGGAGATTCTGGCCAGTCCAATATGGGGAGAAAAGGAATTACATGCAACCATATTGGAAAGGAAGGAGTAAAATTGTCTTTACACTCAGACAAGATGATCTTTTATGTAGGAAATTCCAAGAAATTTTCAAAACAAAAAAAAAGCTATTAGAATTAATAAGTGATTTTGGCCGGGTGCGGTGGCTCATGCCTGTAATCCCAGCACTTTGGGAGGCCGAGGCAGGTGGATCACGAGGTCAGGAGATCGAGACCATCCTGGCTAACACGATGAAACCTTGTCTCTACTAAAAATACAAAAAATTAGCCAGGCGTGGTGGCGGGCACCTGTAGTCCCAGCTACTTGGGAGGCTGAGGCAGGAGAATGGCATGAACCCGGGAGGCGGAGCTTGCAGTGAGCTGAGATCCGGCCACTGCACTCCAGCCTGGGCGACAGAGCGAGACTACGTCTCAAAAAAAAAAAAAAAAAAGAATTAATAAGTGATTTTAGCAAGATCACAGGACACAAGAGTATATAAAAATCCATCATATTTATATCTGCTAGTCACAACAATCCAAAATGAAATTAAGAAAACAACTCCATTCAAAATAGCATTGAAAATAATAAAATACTTAGGAATAAATTTAACAAAAGAAGTGGAAGACCTGTACATTGAGAACTACAAAACATTGTGGAGGGAAATTAAACATATAAATAGATGAAGAAATAGATCATATTCATGGTTTAGAAGTCTCAATAGTGTTGTTATAGTAATATTCTCCAAAGTGGTTTATAAATGTGAAGCAATCCCTATTAAAATCCCACCAGGATTTTTTGTAGAACTAGAAAAAAAAGAAAATCATGTTGACCTTGAGTTAGGCAGAGTTTTCTCATATGACACCAAAGCATGACCTATAAAAGAAAAAAGTGATAAATTAGATTTTATCAAAATCAAAAGCATTTACTCTTCAAAATATATCAATAAGAAAATAAAAAGACTTTACTGAATTAAAAAATAGGTGTGAACTTGAGTGGATTTAAAAAAAAATTCACAAACTGGAAGAGAGTATTTGTAAATCACCTAATAAAGGACTTTTACCCAGAAGAGATAAAAAAAATTATAACTCAATTTCTTAAAGCAGTATTTATTAAATGGGCAAAAGATTTGAATAAACATTTTGCCAAAGATAATGCATGCCATTAGTCATTAGGGAAATCAAAACCACAATGACCACTACTATATACTATAAAAGAAAAATAAATCTTGGGACCCCAAAAGCACTAAGCCAAAGGGAGAAGTCAAGCTGGGAACTGCTTAGGGCGAACTTACCTCCCACTGTATTCCTAAAAACGATAGCTGCTAAGATAAAAGAAAAAAAAATGACATGCCTCCCTCACAAGGAATTTCCCTGTGGACAAAGGACAGACGGAACTCAAAGTTGTCCCTCTGCTCACTGAGATAAATGAATATCTGCTTGCCCCATTTGGAAAGGCGAATCAGAAACTCAAAAGAATGCAACTGTATGTCTCTTACCTACCTATGACCTGGAACCACCCCCACCACCCACCATCCCCCACCCTCCTACCCCCGTTTCAAGTTGTCACACTTTTCCAGACAGAACCAATGTACATCTTACACCTATTGATTGATGGCTCATGTCTCCCTAAAATATATAAAACCAAGCTGTGCCCCAATCACCTTGGGCACATGTCACCAGGACCTCCTGAGGCTGTGTCATGGGTGTGTGTCCTTAACTATGGCAAAATAAACTGCCTAAATAGACTGAGACCTGTCTCAGATATTTGGGGTTCACAATACCCACTAGAAAGACTATACTCAAAAAGACTAAAAAGGCTGGGCGCGGTGGCTCACGCCTGTAATCCCAACACTTGGGGAGGCCCAGGTGGGTGGATCACTTGAGGTCAGGAGTTCAAGACCAGCCTGGCCAACATGGTAAAACCCCACCTCTACTAAAAATGCAAAAATCAGTAGTACATGGTGGTACACACCTGTAGTCTCAGCTACTTGGGAGGCTGAGGCAGGAGAATCACTTGAACTTGGGAGACGGAGGTTGCCGTGAACCAAGATAGCACCACTGCACTCCAGCCTGGATGACAGAAGGAGACTCCATCTCAAAAAAAAAAAAAAAAAAAAAAAAAAATACCAAGTTCAGGATAAGGAGAACTTAGATCCCTTTTTCTCATGCCTGAGGGGATGTAACATGGGGCAGCCACTTTGAAAAACAATTTGGCAGTTTCTCAAAAGGTTAAACATACACTTACCACATAACCCAGCCATTCCACTCCTAGCTACCCAAGAGAAAGAAAACATATGTCTACAAAAAGAATTTTATAAAAATGTTCATAACAACAACATCCATGACAGCCCCAAAGTGGAAAGCATCCAAATCTCTATCGATAGGAAAATTAGCAAAATGTAGTACATTTGTGCCATGGAGTACTACCCAGCATAAAAGAGGCAAACTACAAATACAGGCAGCATCACGTATGAGCCTCACGGCATTATGCTAAGTGGAAGAAGCCAGCCACCAAACAGTAACATTGCATGATCCTATTTATATGAAAATTTCTAGAAAAGATTAAAAAATATAGACAGAAAGATGAGGCATTGTCTGTGGCTGTCGTGGCCCGTGGGAGCAGGATTGGCTGCAAATGAGTAAGCGGAAGTTTTTGGGGTGATGAAAATGTTCTGAAACTTGACGGTAGTGATAGTTGCACAAGTTTCTATTACTGAATATCATTGTACATTTAAAGTGAATGAATTGTATGGTATGAAAATTATAACTCAATAAAACCATAAAAAAAAAGAAGAAGAAGAAGAAATCCTGCAAGCAATGGTAATGTAGTCAATGGGGCATCATAAAAGGTGTTTTAAGCTCATTAGGGGATTCCTTCTTAAACTAATGCATTTTACTACTACATTCTGGTGTCAAAGAAAGGCAGAAGTGTCTGTATCTACGGGTAAATTCACTTCCCACAATGTCCCTGCATCCCAGACAGGCCCCCTTAGAGGAGGCTCCATTCATAGTCTGCTTAGCAGACAGCTTGTATCTACAGCTGCAGCTCCACCACCTAAAGAGATGGGAAAGTGCCTGGGCAGATCCTGTGCCTGACCCTCTATCTAAGATTATGTCAGCCTTATTTGCAAAACTCTTCTCATTAGGTATGAAAATATGTTTTCTTTGCATTGCCATTTGGACTGAAGAGCAGAGCAGCCGTGAAACACAAGATTAGGCATATGTATGGGTTCCCGGTATTGCCAGGTGGGGCATGCCAGTGCTAGCGCAGGGAACAGAGCAGCCTCCCCTGGCCCTCAGCCAAGGCGCCCAGCCAAGGCGCCCAGCCAAGGCGCCCAAGTGCACCTGATGACACTTGCTGATCACAACCACTTTCCTCAAAGAGATTTCAAGGTTTTACACATTAACGTGACAGCCTTCATATGGAAATTGGGCTTTCCAGATACTGGAAGTTAGAAACAGGGGTAGGCAGGTGAGTTTTCACAGTGGACCCCCCTGGGGATGAGAAGGATCTATTTTGCAGCTTTTGCCGATTGCCATGGTGTGAAGACTCTCGCCATGGCCGATTTTAAACGACTGACTTAATATTCACGAGTGTGAAGTAAGGAACAGAGGTCACAGCTGGCTCCAGCACCCCTGCACCTGGGGACAGAGGAGGAACAGGAGAACATGAGGCCCATACGTGACAATGACATACATGACATTAGGTACATACAATGTTTAATCAAGACTTAAAATGTCAGAGTAGAACCATGTCACTTTATTACTTGAACAGCTGAAATAAATTTAAAAGCATTTCAAATTTAACAAGCTGTTAATTACTATTCATATTGTTTTTCTCAATTTGGTTGTACCATCGGCAAATTTTCAGCAAGATCGTTTGCATAGATATGTATTATATATACACACATACATATATACACACATAGCATATATATATACGCACACACCACCCCACACAATACATATACATATGTTAGAGTCAATCCACACACATACACACATGCTAGAGTCTATAATCTTCTAGTTAGTTACAAGAAAATGGCTCATCATGATCCTTAAATAACAGAAAATAGATTCCCCTCCAATAATATGAATCCTCCTATGATTTCCCTGAAAATACTGGAAAATACTAATTAATTATACCTCGATCTCACAGCTTCGAACCTAATTGACAAATTCACCCAAGAGTCAGAACGGGCTGGAAACTGCAGCATTGTCATCAGTGAAGCCGAACGAGAGACAGAGGCTAAGCATTGAAGCCCAAATAGACCTTCGAGTCCTGCTTCCATCACTGTGTCCACCTGCAGAGCAGCTGGGCAGACACCAGCCAACCAGTTTGCTCAAATATGAAAATCTGATTTTATTTCGTGGCCTAAACCTCAGAAGAAGGTGAAAACCCTCTGATATTGGGATGCTAGTCTAAGGACCAACACAGGGCCAACCCACCATGATTGCAACAGATCAGGCCAAAGCATAGGTTCCGAGGGCCTGCAGCCAATTTCTGCTCACGTGTGTTTAGCCTACTAGCAGTAGCTCCCAATTGTGAGGCATACACCACACTAGGCTTTTCCAAAGCTTTATTATTAACCTGGATACAACCTGCCGGACATGTGAATTCCATTCTAGAGATACGAGTGTTCAGAGAGGTTAAGTAGCGTGCCTGAGGTCTCCCAGCTGCTAACAGGAAAATCGGGATTCTTGCTCGTAACTGTCTCACTCCATGGGTAATCTGTGTGCAGGCAAAGTCCTCATGCTTGGCCTGAAGCCAGGCAGGTAGTTGCTGAGATTCCAGGTATATAATCATCAGGCACAAAACCTGGCCAAAAGAGATCAAACAGAAGTCCCCTGGAAATAATCATCATCCGTGGAGCACATTTTCTGTTTGGGGCACATCTCGACGCCTTGCACACCTCATTTCAAGCAGGCCGTCCAATGCCTTCTAAAATACTTATCAACTTCACAGCCAAAAACCCGGGGCCTTAACCAAGGACACCAGCCTTATCTGGCATTGAGCTATTCTGCTTCCTTGCCTTTTGCAGACTGAACCCTGAAGAGGCTCAACACTGATTGCAAGTCTTGTGGCCTAGCCAAAGCTTCTTGCAGTTTCAAGGGTCTTTGGCTTGATCTCATTACCAGACAGAAATTCTGGTGTGAACGGGCTTCCCTCACTCACAATGGACCAGCTGGCCTTGCTGCCAGGAAGTCACCATTTTTCCAAGGATGGTGCTAGGATCCAGGTCCTCAGGAGGAACCATCTACAGATGGCAGGAGAAGACCACGTCTCATCTTGAGCAGAAACACATGAGTCCAGGGCTTGGCTGAAGCCAAGAGCAGGAGTAAACAGGCTGGGACTAACTTGAGGTCTTGCTGATACCCGGAGCCAGTATTCATCAGGTATTAAATTCCCGCCCCACAATACTTGTGGATGCTTATATAGTAAGAAGGAAAACAAACACTGTCCCTGTCTCATTAACGCCGAAACATCTACCTCCCTCTGTCAACGACTTTTTTCTTTTTCTTTTTTTTTTTTTTTTTTTGAGATAGAGTCTCACTCTGTCACCCAGGATGGAGAGCAGTGGCACAATCTCAGCTCACTGCAACCTCCGCCTCCAGGGGTTCAAGCTATTCTCGTGTCTCAGCCTCCCGAGTAGCTGGGATTACAGGTGTGCACCACCATGCCTGGCTGATTTTTGTATTTTTAGTAGAGACAGGTCAGGCTGGTCTCAAACTCCTGACCTCAGGTGATCCGCCCACCTCAGCCTCCCAGAGTGCTGGGATTACAGGTGTGAGCCACCGCGCCCAACCCCTCTATTAACTTTTAAAAATGGCATTCTGAACAGAATGAAAGGGTCGTCATTTATCTCTGGCTCTAGTTGCTATTGTGCTACCTTTCTCTAGGGATCCAGTTACTGACCCAGGTC